TCAGGAGTTCAAGACTAGCCTGACCAAAGTGGTGAAACCCCGTCTTTACTAAAAATACAAAAATTAGCCAGGTATGGTGGCATGTGTCCACAGTCCCAGCTAATCGGGAGGCTAAGGCAGGAGAATTGCTTGAACCCAGGAGGTGGAGGTTGCAGTGAGCTGAGATCATGCTGCTGGAGTTCAAGACCAGCCTGGGCAACATAGCCAGACTTTGGCTTTACAAAAATTGAAAAAATATAAAATGAACTGGGCCAGGCACCTGTAGTCCCAACTCCTCAAGAGGCTGAAAGCAGGAAGATTACTTGAGCCTGGGAGGTCGAGGCTGCAGTGAGTCTGATTGTGCCACTGCACTCCTGCCTGGGTGACAGAGGGATATCCCATCTCAAAAAATTAAAACCCAGGCCGGGCATGGTGGCTCACACCTGCAACCCCAGCACTTTGCCAGGATGAGGCGGCTGGATCACAAGGTAAGGAGTTCAAGAATAGCCTGACCAAGATGGTGAAACCTCATCTCTACTAAAAACACAAAAATGAGCTAGGCACGGTGGCAGGCACCTGTAATCCCAGCTACTCAGGAGGCTGAGGCAGGAGAATTACTTGAACTCAGGAGGCGGAGGTTGCAGTGAGCTGAGATCGGGCCACTGCACTCCAGCCTGGATGACAGAGTAAGACTCCATCTCAAAAATACCTCCCAAACCATCACGTTATACACCATAAATATGTACAACTTTTCTTTCTTAATGATACTTTCATAAAGCTGAGGATAAAAAAGAGAGAAAAAATTAGAAACAGGTTGAGGTAGTCAGGAAGGCGATCAAAGGAGACAGACTTTTGGTCCAGCCCTAAAGGATGGAAGTGAGTTTTATAGGTAGGGAACAGCAAAAGCCTCCTAACAATAACAGAGGCTTCAGGAAACCAAAAAGTATGTTCAGGCGACTTATAATACACAGTCCAGTTCAGCCTGAGTCGAAGTCCAGGACTTTGAAGCTGGAAAAATATTTCAAAGCCAAGTCATGGAGCTCCTAACACAGCAATCTAAGGGGCTTGAGTGGGCAGAGAGTCACAGAACTTGTCACCAGGAGAAAGGCCTCTTTCATGGAACGGAGCCCTGTGGTTCCTACAACTAGCACTGCGTGAGAATCAGAGGTGGACTTTAAAAATGTACAGATTCTGCAGTTCCACCCATGCCTTCTACACCAGAATGTCAGGGTAGGGGCCTGGGGAGCTGGATTTCTGCAAACACGAGCAGTTCTCATGGAGCCAGTGAAAGCACTGGTCTGACCCAGCTGCAGCTCTGGGAACCACTGATCTGGTTCAACCTTCTCTAATCTTATTTCAAACCCACGACACTTAACGAAGTACTAGGCAAGTACAGGCAATGTGGGGACAGAAATAGGTGCAAAGACACACACACGCACACATACTCACATATACACTCAGACACACACACACACACACACACACACACACAGAGCCTAACACACACATATACACAGACACACATACAGCCTAACATACACTCACATATATACTCAAACGCATACACACACAGCCTAATACACACACAGCCTAATACACACATATACACTCAGACACACACATACACAGCCTAACACACTCACATATACACTCACACACATACACACACAGCCTAACACACACACATACACACACACACAGCCTAACACACATATATACTCAGACACACATACACACAGCCTAACACACACACATACATTCAGACACACATACACACACACACCCCCATACTTACACACACATTCTCTACCTTCTACGTTTTAGAAGCATAAGGCCTTAGTAAGTAAACTCCAAGGGCAGAATGTCTTCAGGCCCAAAACCAAAAGGGAGAGAGAGTGCCAAATTCTAACCACTAGGCGGATCACTTGTGGTCAGGAGTTCGAGATCAGCTTGGCAAACATGGCAAAACCCCGTCTCTCCTAAAAACACAAAAAAGTAGCTGGGCATGGTGGTGTGCGCCTGTAATCCCAGCTACTCGGGAGGCTAAAGCAAGAGAATTGCTTGAACCCGGAAGGCAGAGGTTGCAGTGAGCCAAGATTGCGCCATTGCATGCAGCCTGGGTGTCACAGAGAGATTCCATCTCAAAACAAACAAGCAAACAAACAAACAAACAAACAAACAGAATGGATAAGAGGCCGGGCGCGGTGGCTCACGCCCGTAATCCCAACACTTTGGGAGGCCGAGGCGGGTGGATCACGAGGTCAAGAGATTGAGACCATCCTGGTCAACATGGTGAAACCCCGTCTCTACTAAAAATACAAACAATCAGCTGGGCATGGTGGAGCGTGCCTGTAATCCCAGCTACTCAGGAGGCTGAGGCAGGAGAATTGCCTGAACCCATGAGGCGGAGGTTGCGGTGAGCCGAGATCGCGCCATTGCAACTCCAGCCTGGGTAACAAGAGCGAAACTCCGTCTCAAAAAAAAAAAAAAAAAAAAAAAAGAAAAGAATGGATAAGAGATGATGATCTCCCAGTCTCCCTGGCAGGTGGTCATCCGGCCCTTGCTCGAATACTCCCAGGAATGGGAAACTCACTACCTTAGACAGCAGCTCATCCTATTTTTTGTTTTTGGAGACAGAGTCTCGCTGTGTTGTCCAGGCTGGAGTGCAGTGGTGTGACCTTGGCTCACTGCAACCTTCACCTCCTGGGTAAAAGTGATTTTCCTGCCTCAGCCTCCCAAGTAGCTGGGACTACAGGCACCTGCCATCATGCCTGGCTAATTTCTTTTGTATTTTTAGATGAGACAGGGTTTCACTATGTTGGCCAGGCTGGTCTTGAACTCCTGACCTCATGATCCCCCCCAGCTTTGCCTCCCAAAGTGCTGGGATTACAGGTGTGAGCCACCTCACTCAGCCAGCTCATCCTATTTTTGAACAGATCCACATTGCTGAAAAACATCCTCTTCTGTTCTGCTGGTGATAGTCAGCAGCTATCACTGCTGCTCCGGTGAGTCTGATGGGGTTTCAGAGCTATGGAGCTCTTGGAGGAGGATCTGGTTCACCCGCTCATTTTACAGATGAGCAAAGTTGGCCAGAAGGAGGCCCCGAGACTCACCCAAGGTCACAGAAGTGGTGGGCAGCAGCGCTTGGACCAGCTTCCTGTGAAATGTCCTTTGGAGCGAACCACATGGACACCCTGGCTTTATTTAGCAATGGCCTTTAGATCCGAATGCTTAAATATGTTACAGCTCAACAGATATGGGCTGCAAGATGGGCAGCCGACTCGTAGTCACTTTTAACTCATTCATAGCCTGTTGTTCTAATTCACTCAACTTTCTCTATTTCCCCTATTATGTAATTAGAATCTGTCAAATCGTACTGCTGGTGCCCATGGGGAATTTACTTCCTACTGTACCCCTTTGAAAGGGTCTAGTCCAAAAGGGAGACCAAAGGGTCTCCTACAAAGAGGCCTAAGGCTTCTGCCTACAAGGCCCTGGCCAAGACCCAGGCCCTACTAACTTCCTTGGTATTGCTCCCTGCGCCAGGCAAGCTCATCCCTGCAGAGCTCTGACACTTGCTCCCCGCATCTTCCTGACGTTCTTTCCCAGCTCCGAGTACAACTGGTTCTCCTTGCTTCTTCCCTCTGATGTCCCGTCATCCTCCCAGGAGAGGCCTCCCTGGATGACTGACTGAAGAAGCCACTGCTACCTCCTCCTGCTCTACCCAGACACCTAGTGTGTCTCTCTCGCAGTGCCTGGCACCGTCTAACATTGCCTTTTGTGTTTATGATCAGTTTCCCTTCATTACAATAGCAGGGTCCTAGCGGACTGTATTCAATGCGACATCTTTAGCTACTGTTTGGTCCATAGCTGAAGCAGGAGCCTCCTGAAAAGGCTGTGTTGAATGAAGACCAGACAGTGAAACCTAGGATCCAAGAGCATGTCCTGCACGTGGCTCTGAACGCGGCCAGTGTACTGCATGCAAAGGAGACATCCAGCGCAAAGGGAAGTTTCAGATCATTCCTTGGTCCCTCCCTCAGGCCATGTCAGTGGGTGATACTGTGATGAAATTCACAGTTAACCTGGGCCCCACTCCTTCCAATGATGCAGATCGTAGTTGTTACAAAGCGCATGGACGCAGTGATAGATGTACACAGGAGACAATGCACCAAGCTCCAGAATTTATCTAGGAGGGGCTGGTTAGAAGGGAAGGGAACTTCAGGCAGGGTTTGCAGAGCACTTTTGCAAGATGAACATCAATTGTCTGTTTGCCTGTTTGTTTTTAAAAGAGATGGGGTCTCGCTCTGTTGCCCAGGCTGGAGTGCCATAGTGTGATCATAGCTCACTGTAGCCTCAACCTCCTGGGCTCAAATGAACCTCCCACCTCAACCTCCGAAGTAGCTGGGACTACAGGTGTGTGATACCACGCTTGGCTAAGTTTTGCATTTTTTTGTAGAGATGGGGTTTCACTATGTTGCCCATGCTAGTCTGGAGCTCCTAGGTTCAAGTGATCCATCTGCCTCCGCCTCTCAAAGTGTCAATCAAAGACTGGGGAGGTTGGCTGAGATCAGGGAGGGGCTGAAGGCATGGCTTCCTCCCCTGAAGCAGTATCAGAGCGCACCAACGTTAGAGAACACTTCTGGGTAGCCAGATGGCCCCAGGATCGAGGCCCAGTCCTGCCATTATGACCTGTGTGACCTGGGGTCCTCTCTCAGGCTCAGTGCTTTCATCTGTTAAGATGAGGTTGATGCTTCCATCTACTCAACCAATCAACACTTATTTAGTACTCGTGAAGGAGAGGCCCTGGGTATACAGAGCTCGTAACTTTCAGTAAATAAATCCATATGCTTTTCTATGATTCATCCTTTGCTGCAACAAAGTGTTATCATAATTCTTTCTCCTGTTGATGGCCACTTGGGTTGTTTTCACATGTTAACTATTTTCAAAATTTCTGAACTGGTTTTCTAGGGCCAACAAGTTTATTTATTTATTTATTTAATTTTCTTTTCTTTCTTTTTTTTTTAAATCCAAAATGTGTTTATTGAGATGGTTTCCTACTCATCTTGATTCAGAGTGCTTTTAGGGCTGCTTCCTCCTGAAAGAACATCCTTCTGTAAGCCTCACTTTTCCTCCTGCAGGCTGGCAGAGGACAGCAGAGCAGCCAACACATAGAACTACTGTTTGTGCATGGCTGAAGACCGTGGTGATTTTATAGCATCCTGGGCATTTCACATCCATGAAGCAGGAATTGGGGCACTGCACCAGGCATTTCTTGTGTTTCCTCTTCTCCTCTTCCGGAGAGGAATGAAGGAGATCCTTTGCGAGAGGCATGTTCTCGTGGGTAGGTCGTCACCGCCGGAAAGGTGTTTATTTAATTTTGAGATAGACTCTGGCTCTGTCCCTTAGGCTAGGATGCAGTGGTGCCATCAAAGCTCACTGCAGGATCATCTGAGGGTTTGAGACCAGCCTTGCCAACATGGTAAAACCCTGTCTCTACTAAAAATACAAAAATTAGCTGGGCGTGGTGGTTGGAGCCTGTAATCCCAGCTACTCAGGAAGACAAGGCAGGAGAATCACTCGAACCTGGGAGGCAGACGTTGCAGTGAGCCGAGATGGTGCCACTGCACTCCAGCTGGGGTGACAGATCGAGATTCTGTCTCAAAAAAAAAAAAAAAAAATCTTGTTTGGATTTTTACTGGAACTACAAAGACTGACACTGTGATCAATTTGGAGAAAACTGACTGCTTCAATAGCAGTGAAAATTTCTCTCCTTGTATACTTTGTTTCCATGTAAATCTCGTTTAATATCCTCCGATATAAACGTTACGTCTTTCTCCAGAAAGGTTTCCATTGTATTGTTACATCTATTTCTAGGTATTGTTTTTTTCTTTCTTTTCTTTAGTGTCACTATCTCCAGTAGCATCCTTTTTAAAAATTGCATTTTAAGTTAGCTGCTGATAGAGAGCTATATAATTACTTTTGTGCATTGATTTTTTATCTAGTAACCTATTTAAATAATTGAGACTCACTTGAAAAATGACAGTTTGATTTTTTTTGAGACAGAGTTTCGCTCTTGTTACCCAGGCTGGAGTGCAATGGCTCAATCTCGGCTCACCACAACCTCCACCTCCTGGGTTCAAGCAATTCTCCTGCCTCAGCCTCCCGAGTAGCAGGGACTGCAGGTGCACACCACCATGCCCAGCTAATTTTTGTATTTTTAGTAGAGACGGGGTTTCACCATGTTGACCAGGATGGTCTTGATCTCTTGACCTCGTGATCTACCCGCCTTGGCCTTCCAAAGTGCTGGGATTACAGGCTTGAGCCACTGCACCTGGCTTTTTAATATTTTAAATTAAAAAAATTGTTTTCGACAGTTTGATTTCTTCTGTTGCAATACTTATGCTGGATCTACAACAGGGTTACATCCCAATAAACTCACTGTAGGTTGAAAACACTGTAGTCAAAAATGCATTTAATAAACTAAGCTAGCAAACATCATAGCTGAGCCTAGCCTACTTTAAATATATTCAGAACACTTATATTAGCCTATAGTTGGGGAAAATTATCCAATACAAGCCTTTTTGTTGTTGTTGAGACAGAGTCTTGCTCTGTCACCAGGCTGGAGTGCAGTGGTGCAATCTCGGCTCACTACAACCTCCGCCTCTGGTGTTCAAGGGATTTTCCTGCCTCAGCATCCCGAGTAGCTGGGACTACAGGCGCGTGCCACCATGCCCGACTAATTTTTGTATTTTTAGTAGAGGTGGGGTTTCACCATGTTGGCCAGGCTGGTCTCGATCTCTTTACCTCGTGGTCCACCCACCGTGGCCTCCCAAAGTGCTGGGATTATAGGTGTGAGCCACCGTGCCCAACGACAAAGCCTATTTTATAATAAAGTATTCAACAGCTCATGGAATTCATTGAATACTCTACTGAAAATGAAAAACAGCATGGTTGTATGGGTACTCAAAGCAGAATTTCTCTGCATCATCTTGAAGTTGAGCCACTGAAAGTCAAGAGCTGTCTGCACTTTATTTTCCTTATCTCCTCTGCTAGCTAAGAGTTCCAGCACAATGTAAAGTAGCAACAGTAAGTGTTCTTGTCTTGTTCCTGGTTTCCTGGGAATTTTGTTTTTTAACGCCACTGGATCTGATGATTGATGTATGTTTCTGATAAATACCTTTTACCGGGATAAAAAAAGTTTCCCTGTATTCCTAATTTGTCAGTAGTGGTTTTTTTTTTTTTTTTTGTTACTGTTGTTTTCTGAGACAAAGTCTGGCTCTGTTGCCTAGGCTAAGGTGCAGTGGTGCAATCTTGGCTCACTGTAACCTCCGCCTCCCAGGTTCAAGTGACTCTCCTGCTTCAGCCTCCTGTGTAGCTAGGTTTACAGGCCTGCACCCACCACACCCAGTTAATTTAATTTTTTGTTTTTTGTATTTTTAGTAGAGACAGGGTTTCGCCACATTGGCCAGGCTGCTCTCAAACTCCTGATCACAAGTGATCCACCATACCTGGCCTGTTGTAGTTTTAAATTATGAATGGATTTGAATTTTATCAAAATCTTTTGGTATAACTATTGAATTTTTCCTCCTCCTTTAATCTGCTAATGACGTGGATTTACATTAATAAATTTTGAAAATTTTAAACCAAACAGCAATCTTGGGATATATCAAGCTTCCAAGCTTGACGGATCCTTCTGCGTATTTATTCTATAATAAGACTGACTTTTTTTTTTTTTTTTGAGATGGAGTCTCGCTCTGTTGCCTAGGCTAGAGTGTAGTGGCAAGATCTCAGCTCACTGCAACCTATTCAAGTTTTCTATTTCTTCTTTAATCAGCTTTGGTAGCTGCAGAATTCTAAAACGTTTTCGGTTTCAGGATTTATTGGCGTAAAGTTGCTTATATCTTTTTAATCTCTGGCAGCAGCTGCGGTATCATCCCCAATTTTATTCCTGACATTGTTTGTCTTAATTAGTACAGTGGTTTGTCAATTGCAGTGGTATTTTTCTTTTTTGTTTTCTGAGACACAGTCTCACTCTATCGCCAGGCTGGAGCGCAATGGCACGATCTTGGCTCACTGAAACCTCCGCCTCCTAGGTTCAAGCAATTCCCCTGCCTCAGCATGAGTAGCTGGGATTACAGGTGTGTGCCACCATGCCCAGCTAATTTTTGTGTTTTTAGTAGAGATGAGGTTTCACCACGTTGGCCAGGATGGTCTTGCTCTCTTGACCTCATGATCTGCCTGCCTTGTCATCCCAAAGGGCTGGGATTACAGGCGTGAGCCACTGTGCCAGCCCTGCAGTGGTATTTTCAAACAAACAACTTTTGGAATGTTTCTCTCTTGGCTCTTTGTTTTCTTTTACATTCATATCTGTTCTTAATATATTTACTATTATTATATCTATCATTTACTTCATTCTATTTGAACTTATTCTGTTGTATATTTATTTAATAGAGATGGAATCTTGCTATGTTGGCCAGGCTGATCTTGAACTCCTGGCCTCAGATGACTCTCCTGCCTTGGCCTCCCACAGTGGTGGGACTGCAGGTGTGGGCCAGCACATGAGCCGACTGTACTTTTTCTTTTCTTTTCTTTTTCTTTTTTTGAGATGGAGTTTTGCTCTTGTTGCCCAGGCTGGAGTGCAGTGGCATGATCTCGGCTCACTGCAACCTCTGCCTCCCAGGTTCAAGTGACTCTCCTGCCTCAGCCTCCTGAGTAGCTGGGATTATAGGCATGCACCATCAGGCCCAGCTAACTTTTTGTATTTTTAGTAGAGACGGGTTTTCACCATGTTGGTCATGGTGGTCTTGAACTCCTGACTTTGTAAGCCACCCGCCTCGGCCACCCAAAGTGCTGGGATTACAGGTGTGAACCATAGCATCTGGCCGCCTATTGCACTTTTATAAAGCTAATGTTTAGTGCATATATTGTTAGTCTTTCATTTCTTCTCTAATAGGAGCATACAAATTCTTTCCTTCCTTCCTTCTTTCTTTTTTTTTTTTTTTTTTTTTTTTTTTTTTTTTTTTTTTTGTGTTGTGAGGGAGTCTCACTCTGGTGCCCCAGGCTGGGCTGCAGTGGCGCGATCTCGGCTCACTGCAATCTCCACCTCCGGGGTTCAAGCGATTCTCCTGCCTCAGCCTCCTGAGTAGCTGGGATTACAGGTGCGTGACACCACGCCCCGCTGATTTTCTGTATTTTTAGCAGAGACGGGGTTTCACCATGTTGGCTAGGATGGTCTCAATGTCCTGACCCCACGATCTGCCCGACTTGGTCTCCCAAAGTTTTGGGATTACAGGCATGAGCCACCGTGCCTGGATGAGCACTCAAGTTATTTTTTTAAGAGGATTTTCCTCCCTGAGGACTCTTGCTCACCTACTACCAAGAAGTTCTCTGAGCCAGCCCCTCAACCCCTCAACCTTCCGCACCACGACCCTCCTTAGGAAGAGAAGCAAGGATTGGCCAGACAGGTGGGAGGACGGCATTTTTCTAGAGGACGTGCGTATGACTTTACTGAACGGATTGTCTAAATTATGGCTGGACTAGAATAAGCTTTAAATTTGACTGAATATTAAGGGTACGCTTCCCTCATACCACCCATCAATTTGCTGGGCTTGTGAAACACCCAAAATAGGTATCGTGATCAATAAATCGATAATAAATAACTAATTTCAGTGTGAGTTACATTTTATGATTTTGTTATAAATAACTACAAGTAATCATTTCACTATAATATTTCAAAATTTATTTACTTTTTTTTTTTTTTTGAGATGGAGTCTCGCTCTGTCACTCAGGCTGGAGTGATCTTGGTTTACTGCAACCCCCACCTCCCGGGTTCAAGCAATTTTCCTTCCTTAAGCCTCCTGAGTAGCTGTGATTACAGGCACACGTCACCATGCCCAGCTAACTTTTGTATTTTTGGTAGAGACAGGGTTTCACCATGTTGGCCAGGCTGGTCTGAAACTCCTGACCTTAGGCGATCCACTCACCTCAGCCTCCCAGAGTGCTGGGATTACAGGCGTGAGCCTGAGACAGGGTTTCACTCTATTGACCAGGCTGGTCTCGATTTCCTGGGCTCTAGCGATTTTCTTGCCTTGTCCTCCCAAAGTGCTGGGATTACAGGCATGATCACCTTTTTAATAGCAACACATCATAATGAAAGTAAAATATTTTTAAAACCACTTCCAGGCCAGGCGTAGTGGCCCATGCCTGTAATCCCAGCCCTTTGGGAGGCCGAGGCATGTGGATCACTGGGGCTCAGGAGTTCGAGTCCAGCCTGGCCAACATGGTGAAATTCCCTGCCTCTCACAAAAAAAAAAAAATTTAGCCAGGCGTGGTGGCATGCGCCTGTGGTTCTGGCTACTTGGGAGGTTGAGGTGGGAGAATTGCTTGACCCTGGGAGGCAGGCTCTCCACCGAGTGACAGAGCCAGGTCCCATCTCAAAAAAAAAAAAAAAAAAAAAAAAAAAAATCAGCA